ATATATATACACACACACTGACTTTGCTCTTGGTTCTATAAATATATCACTATATGTGCACCTGTGCACCTGTACTTAAATCCTACTCTATTAAGCACTATTTTTTTTAAAGATATAAATGGGGAGATGTAAAAAGCAAAATAGATAGAAATCTCATAAAGGAGACAAGAAGGGACAGTGCTAAAAGATTAAAGGTAAATATATATTATGAGACATAGTAATAAGGTGGTTGGGCACTCTTGAAATTAAGTTGAAATGTAATATACAGAGATGAAAGGAAATTAAATATGAAACCCTGAGATACTTATTAAGCCGTCAGTGGGAATCTAGATGATGATGTCACAAGTAGGGGAGAAAGACGGTGCGTGCAAAGTTGGATGCGATCCAGTTTGTGCTGCAGATTTATGCAGTTAATTTTGTCCCCTGACTGCATTCAGATGAGCATTTCTCCTCGACATACACCAAGAAAATTGCTGCATTATAGCTGTGTTAATGGTAATCAGCATGCTAATGAGCACCAGAAGGTCGTTACAGAAAAGAGAGGTTCAAAGATGTATAACCTAGAGGAAACAGGAACCTAATTCTTCAGGGAATGCAAGTGTCTTGTTTGTAGGTCATAGATTATTTGTTTTGGTCACTGCATTGCGCTGGGAGTTTAATTTAAGCAGGAAAAAAAAATGAAGCTTTTTGAATTGTGAGAGCAGCCCAGCTTAATTAAGAAAAGTAACACCAGATAGCTCTGGATTTGTAGCAAAAAAAAAAAAAAAAAATTCCTCAGTAGATCCAGAATAGTACTAAACAGTTCTTTCTGGTGTGGAATTATGTCTATGGTTATGCAAAATGTGAGGTTTTATTTGTATTTTTTTCTCTTCTGTGAGAAAGTGCTGTGTGACTTTCTGGGGAGGACAGGGTCAAAATAACAGGGGTGAAAAAGGTAACATTCAGAAATTAAGTCACAGTACATGCAAACAATTTCAGAGTCACAGCCTTTGGTGGGAATTAGGAGATATTTCATTGTTTACTTCACATGCATATCTTGGCTTCAAAAGGTTAAGTATGTATTGATACTGAAAAAGAGGAGTATTCAATCAGAAATACTGCTACTATAGCCTATTAAGAAGCTCAGGGACATAAATGCTCTGTAGACTTTAGGTTAGGCTAGATAGTTCTAGTGTTTTCCCCAGGAACTTCCTCAATGGCCCTCCAAGATTTAGGGTGTAGCATTATCTCATCAACTTCTATATTGTATCAATAGAAACAAAATCATAATGTAGCTTGCTTAAGCTTGCTTATGTTTTTGTTCAATGAAAGTTTTGAATGTTTGAATGAAGCCTTAAAAATGAACAACAGCAATACTTCACATTTCCCTTATCTGATAACACATAGAATTTGTCACAATATTTTTGCTGAATATTTGCCCATTCCAAAAGAATAAATAAATGGCTTCTCATATTCAGCTAGAGAGATGATAGATCAAAGGATATATATATGTATACACACATAAACCTATTTAATATAGCATAATATAATAAATATCACTAATGGCCTCTTACAGTCACTCACCTAACACATCTCTAGATTAAAATTTCATTTTTTAAAAATATTTACCAGTCCCCTCAAATAAACACCTTCCTCTGTGCGTCAGGAAGTTCTTTGGTTCTAAATTCACAAGATTAAACACCAGAGGGCTCAGTCCTAAAACTTCCTCACTGCAAAGAAAAACAAACCTAGGATAAAGCCAGAGTTTTAATTGTTGGTCCAGACTGTCTTGTATTCAGAACATCTGTGAAACATATCTGCGCATAAGATCTTCTGTCCCATCTCTACCAAATAATTTTTCTGGAGAAGAATAGGTTTTAGGATGAAACAACATTATGGAAAAAGAAAAAGTAAACCAGGTTTGGTGGCACATACCTATAATCCCAGTGACTCAGGAGGCTGAAGCAGGAAAGAATGTTTAAGGCCAATCTCAGCAACTTAGTGAGACTCTGTTTCAAAATAAAAATAAAAAGTGCTGGGAATGTAGCTCAATGATAAAGAATGTTTGACCCCCAGTTTTGCAAAAAAAAAAAAAAAAAAGACAAAAAAGAAAGCATGAAAGAAATCTGGAATCTGGAGTGGGAGAAAAGAAAGAAGGAAGGAGGAAAGAGAGGTGGAAAGGAGAGAAGAAAGGGACTATAGCAACACAGGAATATAGAGAGAATTAAAAAGACTTTTAATTTATCTATGCAAAAGTATGAAGTCGAGGAAATAAAATTAAAAAACAAAATATTCTCCCACCTGGAAAATCTCTCCACAAAAATGGAAAGAAAACAGAAAATGGCATTATTGTTCAATAAATATCAAGCCAGAAAGTGATGCACACCATACATAGGCAGTCCACTAAGAGGTTGCAGAGATAGTAAAAAGAACTATCCCATTTTATGCAGCTCAGCAGGTGCACCCCATTGCGTACGTGACCTCAGATAATAACTAGTTCTCAAGTGAGAGGCTGTGACAGCACCATCTGTCCCACTGTACACACTGACTCCACTTGGTAATTGGGGTCATCATCTTTGTTAGCCAAGTAACTTTATCCAAAGGAAAAATAAACTGTCTTTATGATAGGAAGGAGTTTCTCAGCTTGGAACAAGGTACCCACATGTTAGGTCCTATGTTTCCACAGAAACTGGCAGGGGAATCTTAGCAACCCTCAGGATTACATTTTAAAGAGAGATGGCTTCCAGGCTCTTGAAACAGACATTCCTAGGTCATGAAGTTAACAAAAGTCCTGTCTAGTTTTCAAAAGGATTTATATACATTTCAGAGAGAGGAGTCCAATTACGTGTGTTCAAAGGTACAGACTCGGAGACAAAGCAGGAGAGAGTAATCTCTGCCCTCATTTTCAATAGGGAGAATCAAGCTCTTATTTTAAATTTATTTGTCTTTGCAATGGGCATACTGACTTTAACCCCAAATGACCCCACTAGGTTCCCTGAGATTTGGCAACATCTCCTAACAGAAGACAGAACAGGAGGCTTACCTGATGTTTGGAGAATCTGAAGTCTCCTAGCTGTGCTGGTTGTAGGAGTTCCCTAATTATCTAGCTCAGGACTTCTCCAACTTTAACATGTACAGTCATCACCTGGGGACCCTAAGGGTCTTCAGATCAGCTCTTAGAATCACAGGGATGGAGCCAAGATTCTTCTCTTCCAACCTGCTCCCAGATAGGGCTGCTGCTGCTGCTATTGCTGCCTCTGATCCCAAGCCCATACACTTAATCACAGACTACTCAGCATGTGGCTCAGGACCCACCCAGGAGTAAGAACCAACTTTACCAGATATGAGTCCTTGTGAAAATCTATTAGCCTCTTTAAATTCTTTTTAAGTCGGGGAGAACTCCACAAATGAATTGTTTCTCAGAGGAGTGAATCTACAGTCTTAAAGAGATTATAAAGCATATCTGGTTTACTTCCAAAGAGAGACCCATGCTTGTCCTTGAACCCTGCAGGATTACATGTAAGGTGGTGAGGCCCACAACACACAGCTCATAATCATGTGTGTGAACCTGCAATCTACCTCTGTAGAGTTTTGAACCATTGGCTCTACTTCATTCCATCTGGAGACAGAGAATAAAGCAAAACAGAGCAAGCATCTTCATTAAATGTTAGAACTTATAAGGTTTCACAAGGCAGTTTTATGTTATATGTTTTCATCGATATAACCCTTCACATATCCGTAGGCAGCAGTTTCCTCACCACTTATCCTCAGACATAACTCTGCCTTCTCTTCTGTAGGTGAACCTAGAGTCTCCGGACCCCTTGCTTTTTCTTCATTTATACTCACTATAATTTTTAGTGCCTACAATTTGAGTACAAATTAATGGCCATTAAAGAATTAGGCCTTATCTCAGGAAATAATTACTAATAAACATGTTCTTAGCATAAACACTTCCTTTTAAGTGTATCTGCTACATTAGTAACAAGTACTTCTTATAAATAGGATTCAACCTTTTTTATCCTTTTTTAAATTGATTTTAAAAAATAAATAAATGACAACAGAATGCATTAAAATTCGTATTTAAACCTTCTTATAGGACAGAAGAGGAATCCTATTAAACATTCTTCTCCTTGTGCAAGTAGATGTGTTATACACGTTTCCATTCACATATCATCCTATATTGGAGGAAACAAGGCTTCAGTGAAGAAGAAACACGTGTACAAAACCCTGTTTTAGTATTAAAACCCTTGCTTCAAGAATCTGTGGCAGAACATAGACAATGTGGAGGAGATATGTCTTCATGCACTCAGGCGGCTATAACAGGATACTATAAACTGGGTAGCTTATAAACAACAGAAATTTATTCCTTACAGTTCTAGAAGCTAAGCCCAAGATCAAGGTGCCGGCACATTGGGTATCTAATGGAGGCCAACTTCCTGGTCCACAGCTGGCTGTTTTTTCACTGTGGCAGAAGAGGCAATGGGTCTCTCTGGTTTCTTTTTTAATAAGGGCACTAACTCCGTTCATGGGACCTTTACCCCATGACCTAATGACCTCCCAAAGGCTCCACCTCCTAAAACTCTCCCCCTGGAGGTTAGCATTCTAACACATGTATTTTGTGGTTCACACACATTCAGAACATAGCAGGTTAAAACGTTAACTCACGCTTCAGGCTCTCAGCTTAATGCCTCCCTTACTTTTATTCCAAATCTAGCCTGACACAGACAGAGGAAAGGTATGTGACCTCCTGGTACTGGCACAGGGTGGAGATCTCTAACTGACATGCTGTTCCTTTGTTTGCCCTGGCAGGTACCTGCACACCTCTGATGGGAGGTCCTGAGTCTACCTGACCTGAGTCCACTTGTCAGCTGGGAGTCCTACAGGTGCTGAACTTGTGGTTATTCCTTTGGCTCCTGAGAAGACTCTATCTCCACCATGTTCATTATCCAGTTCCTTGGCTCATGGCCCACTCAGTCTCTGAGCCAGTTCTGCCTACAAGACAGGTCAGCTCTGTGTTAATGCAGAACCTACATTGTATGGATACTTTAGCCTCAACAGTGCCAGTAGACCTTTGCTGTCTGACCACAGTGCTACTTCCTCCTAGGAAGGCTCTGCAGACCATGTCTTTCCAGAATGCCAACAAGGAAGTGAGACGAGATGGAGTGTGAGTTAACATTTTAACCTGCTAGGTTCTGAATGTGTGTGAAACACAAAATTCATGTGTTGGAATGCTAATCCCCAGAGTAAGAGTTTTAGGAGGTGGAGCCTTTGGGAGGTCATTAGGTCACAGGATAAAGGTCCTATGAATGGAGTTAGTGCCCTCATTATGCTCTCACTGTATCCTGACACTTACTTAATGCCAACACCCTCCGTATATTACACTATCACAAACAAACCCAAGAAGGGGGAACAGGATTGTCTCTGCATCATAAAACAGTACTGTGAGCTGAAAAACCATGGGAAGTCACTTAACCTGATCAACCCTCAGTTGCATATGGAACACCAATGTAATTAAATTCACTCCACTTATTTCAGAGGGTAAGATGTAAGAATTAGATAAATAAGAGCACACGAATATTCCTTTGTAAGGACCTACTCATTTACAAAGCTGAAGATTAGCTAATAACATTAGAAACCTTTGATGAGCTTTGAGGCATCAGTTTGGCCCATGGAATCATCCTGTAATGCCTTTAAGGGACACCTCCCTAGTTGTATAGCACCCGACATTAATGTAGTGTATGCATACGTGTGTGAGGGTGTATGTGTGTGCATGTGTGTAAATGTCTGATATGTATGTCTGTGCTTCACAATGTACCTCACATCCTAAGAAATCAAATTATTTATTATATTCATATCAGGAATAAAATTAAAAAAGTTATTCTAATGGCTATCAGATAGAGGAGTAAAATTAGCTTCAAATGAGTCTGAAAGAGCATATTGTTCTAGTTTACCAGAAACCAAGGAAACCTAGTATATCCTACAGCAATTTTTCTTCTTTCTTATTCTTTCTTTGTGGTAAAGCTGAGAATAATGCCCTTAGGTTTTTCTCACTATATATGTAGATGGGGAGCAGAGAGGAACTGCAGTAGTACAGACTCGAAGACCGTGCAATTAAAAAGACTAAGGATAATTTGTTGATCTTTTAAAATATTGCTTCATTGCGATCAAATTCACCTCCAATCAACAATTTTAACATAATGTAATTCAACAAAAATATTATTTTAGGGATTAGAAAATCCTATAGAAGGAAGCATATTGGATGAAGTATTGCTTGTGGTGTAATTTTAATTCTGAAAGATCTTGCTAAGAGGGCTTATTTAAATAGGTTCTCCCTGAGATGAATATTTAGGGGGAAAAATTCCTACAGGATGATTTATAGCAAAATTATATGAACAGAATGAAGGACAGAAGAATTTTATTAGAAAAGGGTCTCATTTCCACAAAATATAAATTATACCTTTTAGAAAATATATTGAATTTTATTAATATTCTGTAGACAGCCTGAAGTGTTAATCTCCACCCCTACCTATAAGACTTTCATTATAATGTACAAGGTGTATTTACCCTTTAACCAAATAATTTTTGAGCAACTCGGTGGAGTCTCCAGTTTACATTTCCTACAAAATATTTCCATTGCAGTTACAAATTTTGCACTTTGTATTCTTGGCAACTTTTAATGATATATATGTGGGGGTGTATATTTTACATATTCATATTCATGCATATTCATGCATTTAGTATTCCCATGCAAGCACACATATTAATGATAAACTTGTATATTTGATATCTGAGAAAAATGTTTCTCCAACATCCACTGTTAATGTTAGATCATTTTAACCATTTTTTAGTAGAGATACAATCAGTTTGAGTTTCTCAGTGCTATGATTAAAATTCTGCCTTGCTTCCTCTTAAAATTTATAGTCAGAGGAATTACTTAGCATAGACCATTGAGTACTGTGTTCTGCCTGGCATTTGAAAGTGACCTCATTTAGACCTTGGTAACTAATATTTTTGATGAGAAAATTGACTTATTATGGAATAAAGAACTTGGTTATAAATCCTTTTCAGTCTCTATCAGTCTTGAAAACTGAGTTTTTCTTAGGATGATGACTTCATTGTAATAAATATAAGCAAACTGACCATTAGTTCAGTGTAGCTTTTTTTGAAAAAAAGGATACATTAGGGTTTAGATTCTACACTGTTTAAAAGTGAAGACTGAAAAAAAGAAAGAGCTAGGATGTTAAAGAGGAAACACTGGATTTACTTGGATTCTTAAATAAAGATTAAGTATCTTCTCTTAAAAATACATAGAATAAAGCAGTGGTATATCTTACTCCACCCCCAGGACATTCAAAATGCAGCACAGGTTCCCTGTTCCATGGAAAGTATCTGTTTTTAAAAAAATGAATCCTAATGTTACATGTAGCTAAAAAGAACTAATAAAAAAAAAAGAAAATCTGTAAAATATGCTAATGTATTTCCTATTAACAAAACAGGAACCATCTGGTTCTAAAAGCTGGGCCTGAGTTAAATAAAGAAGCCAAACCTTTCTTATGCCTTTTCAAACACCTGAGAAAGGAATACTTCACTGACTTCTCACTGTGTAGCTGTGAAAGCCAGCTTCCCTTAACATCTCCATCAAGCAGGGACCATTGAGGGCATAGCTCTTCAAAGTACCTGGATATCTTAAACAATAACACCTTGACCTTCTATTCACGGCCTTTATAACTTGAACCCTAGATTTATATGAATGCACAGGAGGGAAATCTCCACTATTTAGTATTAGTCAAAATGGCAAACATCTCCAGATAATAAAATGGAGTTCCAAATATATTTGTTGGCACAAATATTTCTGGAGAAATCTCAGAATAAATGTTTAAATTCAAGAATCTATAATCTCTTCATATGTATAAAAAGAATTAAAACAGAATATTATATATGATTATAAAACACTTGGGCTGAGGATGTTGCTCAAGCTGTAATGCGCTCGCCTGGCATGTGCGGGTGCTGGGTTCAATCCTCAGCACCACATAAAAATAAAATAAAGATGTTGTGTCCACCAAAAACTGAAAAATAAATATTAAAAAATTCTCTCTCTCTCTCTCTCTCTCTCTCTCTCTCTTCTCTATCTTTAAAAAAACACTTAACATAAGGTCTAAACCTCTGAGCACATTTTTGAAGCATACAAAACAGTATTTTAACTATTGGCACTATGCAAGCTATTTTTAATCACAGACACAAATAACAATGATAATAATAAATAAAGAGGGCTGTTGGAAACATTTGAAGGCGATTGGTATGTTTATGGACTAGATTGTAGCAATGCTTTCACAGATGTATACTTCTATGCAAACTCATCAAGTTGTATATATTAAATACATACAGGTTTTGCATATCACAATACCTCAATAAAGTGGTTTTAAAATTGATTAATTAATTAAACCTGAAGACCTATTAACGTATGTTCCTAAAAAATAAATGGAACATCAAAAACTGAGAAAAAAGGAAAAAAAGATTTAAGAATTGTCTGTTCAAATGTATAAAGAAACTCCTGCATCATTCTCTAACCATGATGCTAGAAGTCGAAGAATTCAGAAATGCTCCACTAGTCTCTAATGCACATTTTCATAGTTGAGGTTATAAGTTCAGAGTCATTGTGACATGTCTAAAGTCAACTGGCTTATCAATGCAAAGCAAGGAGGTATTAGAACTGCAACTACTAATAAATCTTCCATAAAGTTCATACCATATATGTGTAGTATAGTCTCTTATTTTATACTGAAATTTTCCTGTTTTTATTCATGTGTGTATGTAATTAACTTTCATAATATTACAAAAATAATTTTAACGTGACGTGCAAATTACCATTTTGTGTGGTCAAGCCTCAACATGTTTCAGTCAAAAATAAATATAATAATGCCCCTGGTTAGTTTTTCTTGATAATACAAGTGAGGGTTTCTCCTGGTGATCCATCACTAGTATGAATATTCCAAGATCTACCCAAGGCAATATGGAAAAGTGAAGCCACAAGCTGTCCATTTAAGATAATTACCCAAGAAAGCAAACTCATCAAACTGTTTGCCTTATTCATGTTGCTTATATTTCCACAGAACTAATACAAAAAGAGAATAGAGACTATTCATTTATCTGTAGGTGTTACATAGCAATTTTGGGACTTGATTGAAGTAACATGGGTGTCACAAAAGTCTCTATAACCGATTCTAAACCCCAAAATAACCAGTTCTGTGGAAACTTCTTTCTCTGTCTTCTTAACATTCAATTACGTGTTTTGTCACTCAAGCCATTGTCAATAAAAATATGTAACATCAAAAGAGGAAAAAATAAAAAAAAACATAAAATATCCTCTTTGGGAGGATTTGGTGACTTTAAAATAAAAAGTCAGCACCCTGCCTGCTATGTAAGCTCAAAGCATCACATTCAGTGGCATCTTTTCAAATGACCTGAATTGTATTCTTCCTTTCCCTTGATTTATCCCCCGTTGGCCCCTGCAGGAGAGCATCATTTTCCCCCCTGCCCTCTGTCTTCTATATTTCATTTCAGGTGTCTATCGAGGCAACAGAAGATAAAGCTCTGTGCTTTCCCTTGTAGTAAAGTTCTATATGGAATCAGTTCACCTGTCTGTCACTCCTCATTAAATTCTTACCCTCTTCATTCACATCCTGATCTTTGCAAATGAACATTTGCTTAATAAATGTTCCCAAGACTAACAGTGCAGAGTGAAAATCCCACACAGCAGTAAATTATTAACTCAGTCACAGAGGGAGTGCCATATATGACTTTTCAGAATGAGTTATTATGTGGATCATCATGTAATTATGAATTTTTCAAGCCATGATAGAGGAAAATTGAATATTTAATATTTTATGGACATATTCTACACTGAGGACATCTTTCAAAATTTTATGATAATTTTTAGAGTGAGCGAAGAGCAGAACAAAAGTTACAAAATAATTGCAAACTTGAATATTTAATCACTAGGGACATTGTTGGTTATTTCTCAAATTATATAACGTAACCAAGGCTGTGAACTTTTAATCATAGTGAATTCGAGTGGGGAAAAAGTGCATTAAAATCAATCTATAAATATGTTTTGGTTGTTTAAGAAATAAGAATACAGAGCTTAAAATTGTCAAATTGAGATCTTGGAGTGTAAATATTCATGTGAGAGGCAGTCTTGAGTGATTTGATCTTAATGAGCTATTGTTGAACAAAAAGTTTTTTAATTAGCCATTTTAAAATGTTCAAACTCAGAACCAAGGTGTAAACACTAAAATATATTTAAATTCTTGACTTAAAAAAATGGAAACATGAAATTGACATTTGTTAAAAAATAAAAACCTGTAAGAACTATTTTATAGCTTTGACAAAAAAAAAGGAAAAGCAAAAGATAGACAATTCTATGTCCAATAAGAAACAACATAATTTTTCTATATATTGCCCTATGCAATTTATACAGACTCATGTATTTATAATGCAGTATAATATTTAGCACTTCTCAGTTGGAAAATTAGCGTATTCAGTGATTCCAAATTATTTCCTATAGATTCTCCTTGTTGATGGAGAGGATCATCACTCATGTGGTAATACTAATAATTTTTGTGGACATTCAAACCTGGCTGCACATCAGCATTACCTAGTCCTATCCCCCAGATTCTGAATTAATTGCTGAAATGACACTTAGCACAATATTTGAAAAAATCTTAAGATTGGTTTAATTTTCATCCAGGGTTTAGAGCCAATGCACCATTTAGAGTTGTAATACTATTTCCAAAGGTCAAAACTTCAGACTTCTAAAATCTCAAAGAATTATTCTTTGGGGAACATTAAGCATATGAACACTAAGAGTTAACTAGTAAATAGTCCTGACCCTCAAGTTGCTCATAAGCTAATGAACTATGTGCATAAAAATACTGAATTTAGTGCAGTTGCTGCAGGTAGAAAGGAATATGCGAGATCATATAGCAGTGGAAAAGAAAACCAACGTTTGAAGAAACCAAGATGAGAGGCTGTGGCTATAGCTCAGTGGCAGAACACTTGTCTGGCATATGTAAGGTCCTGGGTTTGATTCTCTGAAGGTCAAAAAACAAAAACAAAACATAAAAAACCAAAATGGACTTTTTAAAAATTGGATTTTGACTAAAAAAATATATGATTGCATCATTTCATTCATTTACTTATTCATTCATTCAATTATGTATTCAATAAACATAATGTAATGCTACTACTTCCCAAATATTGTCTTTTCATAGGTTATGGAAGGTAATTAAACATAAGTAAAATGTATCAGTTAGCTTTTGCAGCATTAACAAAATACCACAAAATTCAAGTGACTTAACATTGCAACTATTTATTTGCTCATGTCTCTACAGGTTAACAGTATGGGCTGAGTTCAGCAGTTTCATCAGAAAAACATGAGTGAGTCATACCATTTTTTTTAAGATCTTTGAAGAAAGTAAAATTGACAACAATACCACTATACTCGTCTGTGATATTTAATCTGCTTATTGAGGTGAATTCTTTTTCAAAAGCAAAACCAAATCTATACGTAACAGAAAGCTTTAGGGGGAAAACATTATATTATCAAAGTTTAGGCACCAATTGTCTGTTCAGTCTTTATCCACTATCATTTCTTGGCTCTATAAATATTCATTATTCTTTATCTCATATGATCCTCCCATTATAGAACCTCACCCCAAGACACTACCCCAGAAGCAAGATTAAAAAAAAAAAAATCTCCAACTTATAATAAACAGAGTATTGAGGAGGGACAAAAGCCTATAGAGGATGGATTCCCAGGGCTTTGCCACCCTGCTCTGGAACTCTGGCATTTCCACAAGGAGACTGGAGATTCAGAAGAGGAGACGCACTTTGAGAGATGGATTGGTGGGAGCAACTGGCTGATACTTAAGATCATGATATTTTAAATCACAGCTCAAAACTACGAAAAACAATGCAACTTGAAATAATCTTAGTTTAAAAAAAAAAAAAAAACAACCTTCCAAGCATTTTAGGAGAATACGAAAACTTTCATAACCGGCAGGAGCAATCATGTGTCTAATGGGAAGATTAAAAACTGTAAACATGATAGTTCCTTCCAAATCTATTACAGAGTTAATGCATTTCTAGTCCCAGTGGGAGTTGTTTGGGGAAAGGAAAGTTGATAAAACTATTCTGAAATTCATCTGATAAAGTATTTAAAAATGATTCCAAAAGAAGAAGAAAACGGGAATATGGGTAGGTTTTTTCCTTTATTCTATTTTACAAAAGTGTTCGTGATTTCTTAAAAGAAATGATAAAAACTTGTGTTTGTGACTGTTTGGAAACTAAATTCCTAAAATATTATTATAGCCTTAATATATGCAAATATATTGTTAAACTAATAATAATAATAGATTCCTATTCAAGAATCTTTTAAAAATGGATTTAGTCAGTGCTAATCTTGAAACACGGACTATGGTAGTTTCTGAAAATTCAAAGGTAAATAAGATATAGCTTCTGCTCTTAAGAGTTCACAGTCCTGTGAGGGGACAGGCAGTAAATATACAATTACAATATGGTGCTGTCTGTACTAGCATAATGAGCCTAAAGGGGTTCTATGGGAGCATGTAGGAGGCACTGTGGGAAGAGGACAAGGAGCTGGGACTTAGCAGGTAAGAAGGTGAGTTAAAGGGGGAACCATGAGCCAATGGGACTGTAGAAGTAGGGACTGCCACAACATAAGGGTCTTTCACATGATGCCAGGACTCTGCCTTTTTTCTACTGAAGCATCAGACATTGATGGGGGAGGTTTCCAGTCATCAAGCCCCCTAATTCCCAATAGCTCAGTTCCTGGAGTTACTGTCTATCTCTAATAAAGATGCACAGGTTCTTTATCATAAAGTTCATTTTCATTGGTGCAGGCAGAGTTAAATCCAAAATAACACTTAGTTAGAACCTATGTTCAATCATATTTTTTTAAAAAGTCAGTATTCACTAATAAAATTTTCTTTTATAAAATATAAGTGCTAATTCATTAATATTTCTTATAACCACCCAGTCATCAAGTGGAAGATATCTAAAAACCCCAAAGCAAACTGAATTGAGAAAGCGCCATAGGGTGACAGAATAAATACTTCAAGTGCCTGTTCAAGTATCACCTTGAGGCGTCAGCGCGCGCACACCCACACACATACACACAAATTATTTTCCCGCTTTGTCCAGGGCTTGAAGAATTTCAATTAGACATACAGAACTACAGTCAAACCAGTCTGTACACAGCAGGAAAAAAAAATGGTCATGGTGCCTGAAAGTTGTGTTCTTCCACAGCAGGGCTGGCCAAGTTATGGTGCAGAGCAGCTGTTTTGAAGCTCTCTGGCATCTAGGAGAAGAAAATAATGTATAGAAGTGAGATGCCAACAAGGACAGGAAAGGCACTTTGGCCAACTTGTGGTGTGCAGGCTGCCAACCTCCACTCCTCATTAGAATCCAGGCCATTAACAAAGCCCATGTGGAGCCTCATGGTCAGGGATGGTTTGGGAACCATCCCTAAAGGCAGAACTCCCTATTTTGGTGAAGCGGGACACTTCACCAGGCAAGTATCACACTCAGTAGTTTTGGTAGGAACTCTCAAGTTCCTCAAGGTCAATGAAGCATTGTCCTCTCCCTGCCTCTAGCAAAATTCATGGCTAGTAATTTTTTTACTTTGAGAAGTAAGAAAACTTAGTTGAAGACCAGAATCTCTAGGGGAATTGCTGCCCTCATGGCTGCTGGTCATCATTTTGGATGCCACTTTTCTAGAAGAAGACCTATCTTTCTCTTCACTTTGCAGACTGAACATGAAATCTTGAGGGTGCTCATTTGTAAGTGACTTCAGAAAGCCTTTCTGGCACTTCTTCCAGGTCCCTAAACTCTGCTGGGACATACAGAATGGACAGGGCAGAGTCCTTGCTGTGGTGGAGGATGTGGACAAAAAGAGTTGACAATGATAGAGCTTTATGAGCCCCCATGCCATGGGGATATGAAGATTGTTAAGGACACCAAGAGGGGGACCCTATCCCTGTTCTGTGAGATTGGCAGAGCCTTCCAAGGATCAGCTATGTTAGCCAGGTGAAGAACAGAGACAGTATTTAAGGCAGAGCTAAAAGCAAAAGTCGTCATGGGAGCAGAGCATGTGGCCTGTCCAGAGGACTTCAGGAAGATCAGAGTGGGGGATAGTAAGGCAGGAGAACCCTCAGATGGAGACAACACCATGAAGCATTTCAAGAAGGATGAATAGTATTCCGAAGTCAAAGAGAAACCAACAAAGAACTGGCTTATGACCCTCAAAACTTAATGCAGCAAGAAGTCGGATCTGAACAATATATACAAACAAAAATGTAAAATCAATTATCTGACTGATTTCCAGAATTTACTGAGCCCAACTTGGCGAAGATACCTTAAATTACTTGTCTTTTGTTCCAGTTCATATCTTGGGTCTCTTAACTCTTTTAGAATAGTGTACTTTAAAAAAAAATTTTTTTTTAGATGTTGATGAACCTTTTTATTTTATTCATCTATTTATATGTGGTGCTGAGAATCAAACCCAGTGCCTCACACATGCTAGGCAAGTGCTCTACCACTGAGACACAACCCCAGCCCAGTAGTGTGCTTTTAAAAAGTCAAACTATCAGTTGTGCCCTGGATGGAGAGGTGGAGCAGCTGAGTTCTGTCCTGGCTGACCTCACAGTATAGGGTCTTCAGCCTGAGGCCTGTCACCACCCTCTTCAGTGTGGATTAAAACTGAGCAACCCACACCCTATTCTGTCTCATTAATTAATTATGAAACTTCAGTGTCAAAAGGCCTTGGGTATTAGGGGACCTGTCTGATTGATTGTGATGGCTGTCAAGCCTACTTAATGATAGTCAGTAAATTCACAGGGTGGGTCTTGGCCCCTCCTTTTTAATTCATAGAACTGTAAAAGAAAAACTGCCGCAGACAATTGTTAAAAATGGCAAGGAAGGCTTTGTTCAAGATTATGGCAATAGGGGTCAAGTGTATTGCAACAGAAGAGAGATTGAACTCAACTCCACTGAAACCAAAGTTAGGAGGATTTTTTTTTAACTGTGGGGTGAACTAATGGGAAAATGCTGGAGGACTTTAGTGGAGAAGTTGGTCATTATGATTAGGATCTGTGTTGACCCTTATAGAAATTAGGCTCCTACCATTGGGGTGCTAACACCTTCCCATGATTTCATTCCAAATGGATAGATACCAAGTCCCTAAGAAAAACATTACTGGTGGGAAATGAAATGGAGCAAAGTATGTTATGTGCATCGCAATGAGCCCACTATGAAGCCCACTTAACTTGTAAAGCATTAACAAAAACATTAAAAACGGACACACTGGGACTGGAATTGCGGCTCAGTGGTTGAGTGCTCACCTCACATGTGCGAGGCCCTGGTTTCGATCCTTAGCACCACATAAAAATAAATAAATGAATAAAGGTATTGTGTCCAACTACAAAAAAAAAAGGACATACCTACACAAAAAGAAAAATGTTACCTACTAATTTGTAAAATAATAATAATAATAACTTTCAAAAGAGCAGAGAATGAATTTACAATAGCAAATTTTCTAAAGTAAAATACTTGAAGAAAAGAAAATTCAGAGCCCAGAATTAGGAAGATACCCTGATACCCCCTGGCGATGCAAAATTGCAAAAGCAATATTGGCTGATGTGCATTTGGTCAGTGTTTTAGTCAGAATAAAAGACCTGATAAGAACAACTTTAGAGGAGGAAAAAGTTTATTTGAGGGCTCACAGTTTCAGAGGTCTCAATCCGTTGACAGCTGGCTCCATTCCTCAGGGCTTGAGGTGAGGCAGAACATTATGGCAGAAGGAAGCAGATCACATGGTGATCAGATGCAGAGAGAGAGAGAATCTACTTGTCAGATACAAAATATATATCCCAAAGGCATGCCCCCAATGACCCGATTCTTCCAGCCACATCCTACCCTCCTACAGTTATCACTGTTAATCCCCATCAAGGAATTAATTCATTGATTAGGTTAAGCTTCTAATAACTCAATCATTTTACCTCTGACTGTTCTTGCACTGTTTCACACATGAGCTTTTGGAGGACACCACACACCCAAACCATAATAGTCAGTTTAAATTTGTGTAGATGAGAGTGGTCATTTACTTTTACCTCAGCAAACATGAGCCATCTTATCTAGGAAGCTTCTCAAAGGCTGCATGCCAGAATTATCTTCAAGTTGTCTGAAATAAACTCTTTCCACATCCTCTTCCAAGGTTTATTTACTCATCCTTTTATATATTCATCAAAGGTTTATGTGCCAGCCCTGTGCTAGGCAAGAGATGAACCATGATTTTCTCTCAAAACACAGAAAGTATGCATTGTACCTACCAAAGTCACAAACTTCCAGGCATCATAGATAGCATAATATTAATGAGATAATCATAAATGTTTACTAGATGTGACAAGTTCTATGCCAAGTACTTTCCACCACTCGTTATATTTGTATTTATATTTTCCATAATTGTATTTGTGTTCAGAGCTGCCCTTTGAGTTTAAAGTATTTTATTGTCTGATGATTACTTTATAGATGAAGAGGCTGAGTCCAAAATGGTCTAATGAATTGACCAAGATTAAGTGGCTGTTGATAGTACAGCAGGGGTTCTACTCTGGGTCTGTGTGACTCTAAGCCTGCGCTTCAATCATTTATGATGATTCCCCTTTGAGTATCACCCAGAGCATCTCTCACCTCCTTCACACATGCAATGTAAACTTAGCAAGAGAACGTTATGCACTCTAAGGTTTCAGAATCCATGGTGGAAATACCTAAGAAGGCAGCAGCACACTGGGCTCCATGTGAAAGCTTACAGCGTTCCTGGAGCACCCACTGGGTGTGTGGTTCAGTGAAATAATTGTCTCTGGAGCATCCACTCCACCAGGCACCATGCTACACACCAGGGAGAGAGGCACACACACAATGAAGTCTCTGCCCTGGAGAAGGCCACATTCTTGAGAGCCATATATCCACCAACTTCAGACCATATTCACAAGGTTTGCTGTATTTATGTATCACCTATACCATAATTTACTTAATATTTACACCTATACCATAATTTACTTAATATTTATAAAATAGACTCACTTTATACCATCACAGTGAATGGAAAGGAAAAGGCACTCATCAAAATAAACATAATTCTATCAAAATGTAACTATTCCTCTGTGTACTGCCCCAGTACATTTCAAGTGCCACTTCAGGAAGGACTGCCCTCTGTCTTATTTTGGTTTCCTCTTTTCCATCCTGCCCTGGGCATCATTCTACGGCTTCCAAGCCCAGCTCCCACTCGGGGAAAATGCCTAGACCTTCACGACTCTCCTGCACGCTCATTTTACCTGCCGCCCGACTGCTCACACCAGGGAGTGTGCAGAGTGCATTTACTCTGGGCCTTCACAGATAACTCACTAAACAGTCTGTCTGATGAAGGAACTTTCCTTGGAGGGCTTTCCTAGAATAATAGCTATCAATAATTAGGAATTTTTGCAATGAAGCAAGCACGGGACAAATGCTTTACATAGATTATTATCTTTTTAACCTTTGCAACAGTCTGATGAAGAAGATACTATTATTTTTCTTCTTGTAGAAGAGGAGACTGAAGTTTGCATAGCAACTATGTGAAGGGAGGTAAAATAATTTGCTTAAGATCTCACGGCTAGTCATTTGCAGTTCTGTGTACCTCCAAAGTCTATAAATCTTAAATCTTAGATTTCTATAGCACAATGAATGTAAGGTCTACATTTAGGCCTAATTTCGAACTTAAAAGGACTTCCCTCCCCTTTCCCAGCCTCCCACTGCCACTTCCCACCTCCAAAGTTCATCTGCCACCATGTGACTATAGTCGTCCTTCCAAAACACAAATCTATGCACCTCTTCACTGCATATCCCTCCCCACCCACACACACACACTTAAAGGCCTCTGTAGCCAGCCTCCCATTGCCTAAAGGCCATAGGATATAGTCTAAATCTCTTTTTAAATGTTTTTTAATTAATTTTTATTTATATATGACAGTGGAATACATTACAATTCTTATTACACATATATAGCACAATTTTTCATATCTCCAGTTGTATACACAGTACATTCACACCAATTCATGTCTTTATACATGTACTTTGGACAATAATGTTCATCACATTTCACCATCATTTCTAACCCCATACCTTCTCCCTTCCCCTCCCACCCCTCTGCCCTATGTAGAGTTTGTCTATTCCTCCCATGCTCCCCTTCCCTACCCGACTAGGAATCAGGCTCTTTATATCAGAGAAAACATTTGGCATTTGGTTTTTTGGGATTTGCTAACTTCACTTAGCATTATCTTCTCTAATTCCATCCATTTACCTGCAAATGCCATGATTTTATTCACTTTTATTGCTGAGTAATATTCCACTATGTATATATGCCACATTTTTTTATCCATTCATCTATTGAAGGGCATCTAGGTTGGTTCCACAGTCCTCACACATCAGATACAGCAATAATCTCTAGGGTATATAAAGAACTCAAAAAGCTAAGCACCAAAAAAACAAATAACACAATCAATAAATGGGCCAAGGACCTGAACAGACACTTCTCAGAAGATGATGTACAATCAATCAACAAATATGTGAAAAAATATTCATCATCACTAGCAATTAGAGAAATGCAAATCAAAACTACTCTAAGATTTCATCTCACTCCAGTCAGAATGGTATCTTTTATGAAGATAAACAACAATAAGTGTTGGCCAGGATGTGGGGAAAAAGGTATACTGTATACTGCTAGTGAGACTGCAAATTGGTGCAGCCGATATGTAAAGCAGTATAGAGATTCCTTGGAAAATTGGGAATGGAACCACCATTTGACCCAGCAATCCCTTTCCTCGGACTATACCCAAAGGACTTATATCAGCATACAACAGGGACACAGCCACATCAATTTTTCTAGCAAAACAATTCACAATAGATAACTGTGGAACCAACCTACATGCCCTTCAATAGGTGAATAGATAAATCTCTTACAGCATTCAGGATTTTTACAATCTGGCCACAACCTGACTCTTACACGCCTTTCCTCTCACTTCACTGTCATGTTGTATCTCACTCTTCTCCTAACAGGTGCAGCTTCTTCACCCCACCCCCCTGAAAAGGGAGCCATAAATGCTGCAGGGTCAAAGCAAGAATACAGGTGGGGAGTCAATTGATCTACGTCTGAATTGCAATACTACAGGTTATTTGATCTCTGTCCCTCCTTATTTTCTCACATATACGACAGCAATAATGCTACTCCCTTGTTAAGAACTGGACACTACTAGTGCCTTGCATCTTGCATAGCCACATGTTGTTACACCTGTGCCTAGGTTGCTCCCTTGGAAACTACCTGGAATTGTTTTCTTGTCTAGTGTTATTCCATTCTTCAAGCTCAAATATCACCTCTTTGAAGCCTGTCTTGATTTCTTTGGGAAATATTAATTCCTCTTTCCTCTGAATTCCCTAGCGCTCAACTCTGGCCTCAACTATGATACTGTAATTTGAAGTTTAATGATCTGTCACTTGTTCCTCTCTTCCATTAAACCAAGAGCTCTTCAAGAGCCTAATAACTATGAAGTGCAACACTTCAGTGCATAGCAAGCTGATAAGTGCTTGTTGAGTTACTAAATGTGTTCCTTTTTCTGCCAGACTTCATTTGAATAATGCTATAAAATTAGACTGAAACTTTCAGCTCAGAAGTAGTAGCAATGGTATAGGTGAGTAGAAGGTGAGATCTTTCTCCAAAATTCCCAACACATCCACTCTCCATACCTAAAGCTATTTCAGTTCCAGAATCTTTGTCTGCAAATTATATTGGTCTTCCCTTAGAAGCATGAGGGAATTTTTATGACAGGAAAAGATAATGCTTACAAAACCTTTTCATTGTAAACGTTGATTATTTATGAACTCTTACAGGAAAGGGACCCTCTGGATGCTGGCATATGGGAGAAGCCACCCCCCTCCAATTTATAATAAATGAATGTTGGAGTAAATCTCTTCATTAACCGGATCGAGAGAGGAATTTACACTCGAAAGTAATCACTCATATCTTCAGCCATAAAAGCCCCAAAGAGTCCACTTTCTGAACATTCTCTCTAATGGGGCAGACCTTTGCTGACCAGCTGAGTGCAAGGGTGACTTCAGCAGGTGGATTCCATGAAGTGAGCACTTCAGAGCACACACAGCCACGCTGCCTGCAAGCCTGTGGGTGGCCTTGGCAGGCGAAAGCCCGTCCTTCAAGCAACTGAGGCAGGAGCCCATTAAAGGTGTTAATTTTACATGATGTGGCACGGAGAGTTTATAAATAAATAACAAATGAACATTCCCCACGGCTTCTCTCCTCTGAGTCTATGTACCTGCTGCAGACCTGGCAACAGTGGGAGACTTTCAGATGCCAGATCCGGAATTGCCCTTCAAAAACCAAGGAAGGAGGTATTTCTGTCACCAAGACTTGACAACTTCTGATGCCTTCATCATTGGGTCCAGTCCCTTTTGAAAAATATCCACTAACCTATCCTCTGTGGTTGGATGTGCTCAGTTTAAGATTATCATCCTGAGCTGCAAGAACAAAACACAGATGTTAGAGTTTCAGAAAAAAATGTACTGTTGGGGACCATTAGTAAAAAATACTGTTTAAAATATATAACATATGTAACTATTAAATACATAAAAATCTCATGTACCAAGAGGCAAAACATGATGAAAGTTGCTGAATATTTTAAGTACCTATATTGCTGCATAAAATGGTTCTGTGCGGTAGAATTTTCTATTGCAGGAGATTTATGAATTTTTGTCAAAGTGGTAGATCATGCTGAAGTCAGGGGAAATGCTAGCACACTTTAGGTTGCTTTCTATTTTTAATTAAGTTTGAAACTGCATCTTTGCACTTGTGAGTGTGCATATAAATATATGTAAGTGCAGATGTGATTAACAATAATGCTGATCTATGCAGACACTCAAATTCACTCACAAAGTGACCCCCTCCCACTGCAGAGAAAACTTCTTAATTGAGGTTGTGTTTGTATAATCATAATGAACTGGATTAGAATGGCAAAATTTTACTAGTGTGGTTCACCCCCTCATTCTAACAGCCTAAGAAAAAAAGAATGGAACAAGCCCTTTAGGGTCATGACCTGAATTCCCACCCGAGATGAGCTGTGATGATGGTGCTCCTCATGTTTACCTGTGTCAATAAAGATGGAGAGAGACGAAGCTCATGTCGTTGACAAAAGTCTATCTACTACTTCTCCCAAGGGATTAAGATAGGGAAAGCTCAATAGCACCCTTGAGAATTAACTGGCATCCAAGTTACTCAGAATCCAAAATACTAAGCAAGTATTAACAAAATGATAACCAAGAGCAAATAATCAGGTCAGATGCACAGAGTGAAAGTCCAAGGTGAAGAAAAACAAAGCAAAAAAGAAACAGCTAAGATGCAAGAGGGAACACTCCCTGAACACAACTTGAGTCCATTCCTAAGCTGCCACCACCCATCCACGTCTGTTTTGATCAACATTTCCTAAAGGTTTCATCACACCACAAGTTCACACCACGTAACACAGCATGTAATTATATACTCTTCTGTCCTGTTCTTGCTTAATGTGTGTTCTCTTTCATCCCAACTGGATTTCAATCCCACTGGAGGTCAGTAACTATGTCTCATGTACCTGTGTTTTCCCCAGGGTCTAGCACAGCTTTATGCACATTAAAAGTTTCAGTAATTATTCTTTGGTTGAGTCAGTATCGAATTATGTTTAGGCTTCTAGAAAGCTCTATCCGTTTTTCGTCCATCATATTGTATTTGCTTTCCTTTTCCAATATTCTTACAAAGCATATATATGTATGCTCTAAAATACATGAGTGTATGCTATTTACTGCACACTTGATTCTCTAACTTTTTATGTGACAATATATACAGATTGAACCCATTTTTTCTAATAGTACATAAAATCCCACTGTGCAAGCCTACCACAATTATTGAGTCATACCCATATTCATAGGCATCTGGAATGCTAACATTTACCACAGTGTAATAACCAATATTACACAAAATAAAAATTTCTATTTCCTTTTGTACTTGTGCTTTTACTTTTTCTTAGATTCCTAGAGAGGACTGTAGTCAAAGGTTAATTTGAAAAATATAATTATGAAAAATATCTCCAGTTTACTTTCCTGAATGCTTAGAAGTTACCCTCCCACCATTGTTTGCATGTCTGTTTCCCCACACCTTTGACAATACCTCATATTATCTAATTTTTAGGGTTCACCAACAACAAAAGGGTTAGATTAAAGCAAAAAAATGGTACCTTGCAGTTATTTTGCATTGCATTTCTCTAACTCCTAGTGATTGTTTCTTCATCATTCTTTTGCCGATCTTCTTTTAAGAACTGACTTTATTCTGCCCATAATTTATATTTAATGTGAAGGAGTTTGTTAGAGGTATTTATATTAGATATTATTAGAGGTATTTCTCATTCATAGTTGAGGCACATATTGTTCTACCAGATAAATCTTACATCGTGTCCCTTGAGGACAATGCCTGCTTTGCAATCCCTTCTTGCTAGCAACCCAGCCTTAGTATAATATCATGTGTCCCACTGAGGACTTTCAATAAATTCATTCAACAACTTCAACTAAGCAATCAAGAGTGGTTTAGTCATGTGGTTAGATTGGCTGTGCAAATCATCCTTGATATCATCAAATATCTGCTGGATCAAGTGAAGTATTTTCCTTTCCATTTCCTAAATTGAGCTCCCATATTAGTACACACTATTGTCTCCAGGTTAACCCTGTTTAGTTCTAACAAAGAGAGGACTTCCCTGAATGTGTTCAAACCCAAAAATCATATGTGAACCTACAGCTATAAAGAATATTTGAGGGACACTTGAGGAAAGGAATTAAAACTAAGATTTTGAAATGTGCATGTACACACACATATACATGTCCACACCAATTCAGAATAGTGTTTTCATTCTAGCACAAATCTGCCCACTTTTTAGTATGTAGTCAATGCATTTACTGATGCAAAAAAGCACTAAAAAATGCAAATGAAAACATTATAGAAATTTATAAAGTTAGCAGACATTTATACTATGAAACAGATTTTGTGTTATGGCAAGGAATGTTTTATGATCTTCATTTCAGGAAAAAAAATTACAAAGATTACAGGAATTTAGGAAACCATTCAGGTTGAGGTACAATTTTGGAGAGTTTGTATAAGGAGATAAGAAAATAAGGGGGTTTTAGGAGTCAGATGTAGGATTCATTTCATCATAGGAGCTTAAAAAGGAAAACAAGTGACAAGCAGATAATCCAGGGTGCTCTGAAGGTTTTGAGGTTTGAGATGGAGCAGATAAGGTTTGTCCAACCCATCAGAGAGAATTAAGGTCTGGGTCACCACTATGGTGGTGGGTAGTTATTTTCATCCTCAGCCGATGGGGTTACTTGCAACTCTGTCACCAATTACTCCTCTGAATGGGTCTGTAGGAACCTCGTGAGTGTCACTACAGAATACAGTGACTCCAGTGAAGTACTTTGACTAATTAATAGACACCACAGACCAAGCAAGATAGGATAAGGAAAGAACAGTGGCATGGAACTGACCTAACTCTCCTATATATGTACATTAATATACCAAAGTGAATCTCACCATCATATACACCCACAAGACACTATTAAAAAAAACACTACAAGTGAAAATAGCAGAAAGATCCATAGAATAGAAGGAACAGAATAGCGGGAGGGAGGAGATTAGGAGAAGGGAACGTACTGCAGACTAAATTAAAGAAAATGATATTCAATGCTTTTATTATTTTGTCAAATGGAATTTTGTTATGTATAACTAATAAGAACCAACAAAACACTAAAAAAATGTTCAAAAGGGAAGACAGCCCTTTGTTTATCAGTCACATGTATAGAAAAAAGATTGGATTATAGAATTTTGCTGAACAGAATAAAACAGTAAAAAAAAACATAGTTCTGAGAAATGCTAATGACATGAGGGAAATACTCATGATATGTATAATAAAAAATCTAGATATAAAACTATATTATTAGACTCTGACTTCATTTCAGTAAAGGACACACACATATATTTTGCATATAAAACTGAAGAAAAACTATTCAAAGAAAATGCCACAAAATGTCAACAGTGGTTATCTCAGTGGAACTGTCAGTGATTTTTATTTTCCTCTACACTTCTCCATATTTTAACAAATAATTTTGAGATGAGTATTTGTTATTTTTAAATCAGCAAAAGCTATTTTTAAATACATTTCTTCATGATGTTATATTTTAATGGGTTCTTCGTTAATATGATACTCAGTCATGTTCTTTTTTTTTTTTCTGTTGTTTTCCCCTCAACTGATTAAACTTCTCAGCACTCTTCAGTGCTACAATTTCTTTTCTCTCACGATCTTAAACTAGCACTGGAAGTTAGGGGGGGAAACGACACTTCTATATTCCTTTCACCCAACATTTCTGTACTACTTAACAACATGACTTTGGGCAGGCAAGAAGTGTAAGTGGAATTATAACTTTTGCTTGTAAATTTATACAAAATCTTATTGCTGAAATCTCAAATTGGAGAAAGGAATAGATTCTTGCTTTTCTTTGCCTTTATCTTTTAGGTTTAAAAAAGGAAGTGGCAAAGAAAAATAAAAACAACCTATATTCTGCATACAGGATATCTGGGTTCAGTTTTTCTTCCTGCCCTTGGGATAAATGACCACTTTTTGTATAAATTAATCAGTGGAGACTGTCAGTGGAGACAGGTGTTGAAAACCCTAACACTGCCCACACACTGTCCACAAATTATATATGCAGAGTAATATCTGCTCAGAATGATGGCAAAAGTTGAAAAGAGGTAAGTAGTTTGAAATTATGTTGGGACTTCTTGGAATGGTAAAAGAATTTCTTCCTTTTCTGCAATTTATAATACTACAGGTAGAGATTCACTTAAAATAGGCCTTTTGCCAAATACACACACACACACACACACACACACACACACACACACACACAAACACCTTCCTTTAATTTCTGACACCTAGAGTATATGTGACATCACTAATTAGAGTACTAAAGGGGAGAGTAAAGCATCCCTTCATTCAATCCCCAGTACCAAAAAGGTGGAGGGGTGGTGCTAGGGTTGTAGCTCAGTGGTAGAGCACTTGCCTAGCAAGGGCAAAGCCCTAGGTTCAATCCCCAGTACTACAAAATGTATACAGGGCAGGGGAGACAGATCTGCAGTTTTTATGAATTATCTCAAACAACAGAAGAGACATTACGTGTGCCCCTCAAGAGCTGCTGGTGCCAACACAATTATTGCTCCAGCTCTACTCCATGAAAACTGGCTCCCAAAAAAAAAAATTAGTCCTATTTGCCTCTAATTCTAAATATGAATTCTTTTACCAAATTTAAGAAAACATACAATTAAACTTGGAGCCCTCAAACACATAGTTTTGTACACAGTTTGCACTCAATAAATATTTATTCATTAGTTATTTGATAGTGGTGGATTCTTTGGTCTGATTAATACAGATATTGCTTAAATCTTTGCTCTGTCCATGGTGGTGTTAGAATTTAAGTGCTACCATAAATTAAAGAGCATCACTTCAAAAACACAGTTGCCTATGCCTCAGAATCAAACCACACATGGGAAATGCACGATTAAACTCAGCCCTCTTACATAGACATGTTTGCGGCTTAACTGACCCAATACACCTCCCCTTCAGCCACATCTTTCCCTCATCGTGATAGATAACATTTTAAAATCCTTCTTTCACTATGAATTGCTTATGCGTCTGTGTTAAGGCCATTTGACTTCGTGGGCCATTCAAAAGGCAGTTCAAAGACACCCATCTAATCCATTTCTTCTAAACAATGAGGCTAGTTTGCAGAGAAAGAAAATATTGAAAAATCTTTTCAGGCAGCTTTGAACGCTGCCCAGGGAAAGGCCATCTTCAGGGAATGGCTGAGTACTTTGAAAACCCTAAGGAGCTTTGTAGTTAGGGATGACCCTGTAACCTCTCAACAGCTTTTTGCAAACAAAATCTTTCAAGCTTCATCTAAAAGACAGTGAGCAACAATTTGAAGAATGAGGTTTTCCTTTGTGTCAGATTATAGAGCTCAGCAGTTCTAACCTTTTTGTTCTATTATATTTCTGATCTAAATAAGGAATTATTTATTACCAGAAAACGGTGGTATTCAGATCACAAGTCTCCTCAGAGCACTGACTTTGATCCTCAACTGTATGTAGAGATTTGAGGAGGAGAAGGCTACTTATTTGGAGAGAATCCTAAGATCCATTCTTAGAAGTTGCCTCTCCAGGCAGAAGGCGCTCTGGGCTCTCGTCATTGACAGTGAACCTGTCTTACAACTTCTTGATCTCAATTTGTTTTTGTAATGCACATTTCCCCAGTAGCTTGATGTTTCATTCTTCTCTGTGGATGCAATTTCTTCCCTGTGCCAAGAAATAAATGGATTTACTAAAAGTTTTAATTCAATGAAAGTTTCTGATAAAATCACCAAGGAATTTGTTCACAACAATGATCTTCCATCAATGTTTCCTGGTAATAGTCTAGGGAATATTCAACACGCAACAGAAAGAAGTCTCCTGGGAACGTGCATGGTATACAATTTTCACTCTTCTCCACATGGGTTAGTTCCCATAGTTAAGATTAAACCTTAAAGATATTTAAAATCTGAAATAAAATAACTGGGAAATTGTCATTTAAAAGCAACTTTTAATTCTCTTTGGATACTGTTTTGGGGGCAGACTATTCCTTGCGTTCTGGGAAAACCAAGCAGAACCTTTTCAGTTTTCAAATGTAAAGAAAAGACCTTCTTCTGAAATGGGGATACTTGAGACTTGTGGCTACAAACAGTTAAACTGCTCTGGATGGCCATATAAAGTTTCCTTGGGTGTAGACAATGTTGTATCTCTTCAAGTTATGGTTCCTTCAGGAAAATATCCTTTTTCTTAATATGGATTAAGTCTTCTCTGTTCTGAGAGTTTGGAAGGAATGGAGGTAGGATGGAAAGGAAGGATAAAAAGAGGGAGAGAAAGGAATGTA